CTAAAGCACTCAGATTGTCACAGTGAATGACTGGAGGCACCAAGATGCACTGATGTATGTCTTTGAGAAGAGATCGAATCCAAAACAAATCTGCTGCAGAATGTGCTAGAGCTTTGTATTCAGCCTCAGTAGAGCTGCGAGATACGATGGATTGCTTCTTAGACTGCCATGAAATGGGATTATCGCCCAAGTAAATCACAAAACCAGTTATAGAACGTCGGGTGTTTATGTCTGCCACCCAGTCTGAATCAGAATAGGCAAGCAAATTGAAATCCAAGCTCTTTTTGTAATGCAAACCATACTCAAGTGTGCCTTTCAAGTACCGTAAGATGCGTTTGACAAGATGCATATGAAGATCGGTCGGGGAAGTCATAAACTGACAAACCATGTTAACAGCCTGAGCAAGATCTGGCCGAGTAAATGTCAAATATTGGAGAGCCCCTACCAAACTTCGATAATGACTTGGGTCAGAGAGAGGAGCCCCTTCTTGTTCAAGAAATTGTGCATGGGGCTTAGATGGTGTTGATGTAGGCTTACATGTCTCCATTGCTGCCTTCTTGAGGAGATCTTTAGCATATTTCGATTGACTGATGAACAATGAACCATCATCTTTATACTGAATCTGCAATCCCAAGAAATAAGATAATCTGCCCATGTCCTTGAGATCAAACACTTCAGCAAGTTCACTGATCACTACTTGAACTGTTATAGGATTGGAACCAGTGAGTATAATATCGTCTACATAAAGCAATAAGAGAACAATATCCCCTTTATCTACTTTAACAAATAAGCTTGTATCCGATAAGGAAGTTGTGAACCCAAGGGATGGAAGATAACTTGTAAACTTTGAGTTCCAGGCTCGCGGGGCTTGTTTCAAGCCATAGAGAGATTTAATGAGCTTACACACATAACTTGGACAGGAAGGATCCACAAATCCTTGAGGTTGCAGCATGTAGACCTCTTCCTCGAGATCACCGTGCAAAAAGGCATTTTTAATGTCAAGTTGTCGCAGATTCCAACCAAACTGTGCAGCTAAAACAAGAATTAAACGAATAGTAGTGTGTCTAACCACAGGACTGAAAGTCTCTGAGTAATCTAGGCCATGTTCTTGAGTGTACCCCTGAGCAACTAACCGAGCCTTATACCTTGATATTGAACCATCTGGATTTTTCTTGATTTTATACACCCATTTGCTACCTACAATTGTTCTGTGAGATGGAGAGGGAACTAGAACCCATGTACCTTGAGCCTTTAATGCATTATATTCTTCTTGCATAGTATGTTGCCATTCAGATTTACACGATGCTACCCTAAAAGTTATAGGTTCATCAGGTTCTGTGATATCAGCCAGAAATGAAAACCCTCCAGGACATGCACTAGGAATGGACTTAGACCAGGACATATCCGAGCAAGACTCCAGTATTTGTAAGGAATTTAACTCAGGAAAAGTGGCCAAATAAGCTGCATAATTCTTTCTTGAAATAGCACCTGTTTGTAACCTAGTTTGAATCCGAGAAGGAAGTGGATTTTGTACAGGTAATACAGGGGAAGCATTACTAGAGGAGTGCTCAGACAAAGGTAATAATACCTGAAGTTGAGTAGGATCGAGGACAGGAAGCAAAGAAGGTGGAGTTGGTGTATCACTAGCTGGAGAGGAGGTTGATGCTGATGAGTTAGACATCGATGTCCCATCCTGCTCAGATTGACCCATTGGAGACTGCATGGGAATAGGAAATGGAATAATCACAGAGCTAGTTTGATGGACTGTCTCAGCTAATGCCAGACCACTGTGAGAAGGTCTCAACCTTGCTGGAAATATTGACTCTTCAAAAATAACATGCCGTGATATAATGCATTTCTTAGACTGTGGATCATAACATATCACTCCCTTATACCCCATTGAATATCCTAAAAAGATACATATTTTGGACTTATACTGCAATTTATGACTGTTATACGGCTTGATCCATGGAAACACAGCAGTTCCAAAAATTCTTAAGGACTGTACCTCAAGCACTTTGTTGTATAGCAGGAAATAGGGAGAACTAAATGACAAGGTTTTACACGGCATTTTATTAATCAGAAAAACTGCATGAGCACAAGCAAAGTACCAAAACTCACTACTTAAACCAGAAGCATTTAACAAAGTGAGAGCAATGTCCACCACATGTCTATGTTTCCTTTCTGACATTCCATTCTGTTGAGGCGTGTATGGGCAAGAAATAAATTGCATAATGCCTTTTGCAGCCAAAAAAGATGTAAACCGCTTGCAAGTGTATTCACCTCCACCATCTGTTTGCAAACCTTTAATTGTTAACCCAAACTGAGTGTAAATGAAAGCATAGAACTTGAGAAAAATTGCATACACATCAGAATTGTTGCACATGGGAAATATCCAAGTAAATCTTGTATATTCATCTACGAAAAGTACATAGTATCTAAAGCCTTCCACAGACCTTACAGGTGTTGGACCCGAAACATCGGTATGAACTTTCTCAAATGGAGCCAAACAACTAGCATTTCTCACAGGAAAAGGTATCCTAGACATTTTACCCCTAATACAAGAAATACAAGTAGTACAAGTTGCATCTAACTTGTGTAAAACCTTAGACTGTTTTAACATTGCAGCCATAGTATCATGTGCAGGGTGACCCAACCGTTGATGCCAAATATCTGATTTCACCATTTTCCCTAAGTAAGCCACTGGATTGCTTGTAACAAACTTGTTCTCTCTAGAAGCTTTAACCACTGGAATCTGAAATAACTCTTCGGGTTTACTCCTTCCGTGATACACCACCTCCTTTGTCTTCTTGTCCTGCACAAAGAACTCACACTCATCACATATAAACCAGCTATTATTATCTGCACACAATTGTTTAACTGAAAGAAGGTTTCTGGCAATATTTGGAACATGAAGGACTTTACTGAGAACTAGAGAATGATCAGCAGTATTAAGTGCAGTGGAACCGATATGTTTAATTGGTAGACTTGAACCATTACCAATGGTTATATTATCAGACCCTTGATAAGGAGCCACTTGGTTTAAAACATTTAAATCTGCAGTCATGTGATGTGAAGCACCTGAATCCACAATCCACAAATCCTGAGAAAGATCCTGAGATGTTTGTTGTGCACTCATGGCAGATAGTGAGGCTGGGGGTGGCTGACCTTGATATGTGTAGTTGGCTCTGTGAAAACAGTCTAGAGCAGAATGGCCTCTTTTCCCACATATCTGACACTCCACAATAAACCCAGCTGGTGTATTGCCTGTATTTCTGTGAAAACAGTTCACTGCAGTATGACCTCTTTTATTGCAAATTTGACACTCAACTACAACATTTGTTTTAGCTTCAGTATTGCCTGACCACGACCCAGTAACATTCTGACCTTGTCTTGTCCCTGAAGAATAAGGACCATTTCCACCATAAAACCCACGTCCTCTGAAGTTGTTACCAGTTCTATAGTTGTTGCTATTATTCCTGGATTGACCACCATTTCCAGATCTGTAACCCCCATTATAGTTCTGAGATCTGAAACCATGCTGCTGACCAGAATAAGAGTGAGCTACAAACCCACACATCTGAGATCCGGATCCACAAGAGTGATCATAATGCCCTGGAGGAAAAGTATTAGAACCACACATCTGAGATCCGGATCCACAAGAGTGATCATGATGCCCTGGAGGAAAATTATTAGAACACACATCTTAGACTCCATACCATGTTGATGAGCATTATTAAATGACCCCTGTGGTTGCCAAACAATAGTACCTGCTGTAGTAGCAGGTATATGAGCATGATCTTGAGAATGTGATGAAGATGCACCACTGGAAGATCCCAAACTAGTATGCTGACCAGACTGAGAACCCTGAACAAAAAGAGCATTCATATTCTGAGATAGCAGACTCATTTCTCCTTCAACCTCATTTTCAGTACCAAGTAGTTGAGCACGAAATTCCCTTAAGGTAATGGAAGATTCCCGTGCCAAGATAACTGTGCGAATAACACTATATTCCTTAGGTAAACCTGCCAGGCCAGCAATGATAATGTCATTGTCAGAAATTGTCTCACCAGCAGCCATTAACTGATCTCTGATAGTCTTCAGACGTAACAAGTATTTATCAATGTTATCTGCCCCCTTCTGAATCGTTTGCAACTCTGTTTTCAAATGATTAACTCGAGACTTCGAAACAGACGCATATCTTTCAACAAGATTCGACCATGCTTCAAAAGCAGTCCTGCACCCTAAGACATACTCCATGGCCTCATCTGTGAGTGTAGAAAGCAGCAAACTAATAAGCGCCATATCAGTGGACTCCCAATCAAGAAACTCTGTGGTAATCTCCCTTGTAATACCAGTGTCAGAATTCACAGCATACTTTGATGGACAACCAATCGAACCATCAAAATGACCAAACAATTTGTACCCTTTAAGAACCGACTGAAACTGAAAGGCCCATTTAGCAAAATTATCATCATCTCGAAGTTTTATAGTCAACATACCCAACAAATTCTCAATCTTGAATGAAGAAGACGCCATTGGAAATAAAGTCAATGAACCACACTTCTGACTTCTAAAATTCACAAAAACAAGACCCAAATATGGGAGAATGACACTCCAAATCACAACCCAAATTACACATTTCAACTCACGACACCAAATCAGGAGATTAAAACTCCAAGAATCATAGAAAGACTGACACTTTCTTCTTTAAAAACGACAAGTCCTAGAGAATGATACTCCAAGGAACAAACACAGCACATGAGATTGAAACTCCAAGATTCATAGAAAGAATGACACTTTCTTCTTTAAAATCAACAAGTCCTAGAGAATGATACTCCAAGGAACAAACACAGCACAGGAGATTGAAACTCTAAGATTCATAGAAAGAATGACACTTTCTGCTTGAAAATCAACAAGTCCTAGAGAATAATACTCCAAGGAACAATACACACAGAATGAGAATGGCAGAAATCAACACAACAACCCAAATCTTCGCATCAATCAAATTCCAACAAATCGAACCACAGCACCCAGAGAGAAACACAATCACCTGATTTGCTGACAATCGCACCACGAAACTCCGAAGAACGCCGTTCCAGATAACCACTAAACACCCAAATCTTCGAACACCCAATCGTCAAAATAGCACCCAAAACAGCGGAAGTCTTCACCAGAACCGAGAGTGGCGACGAGCTAAACCGGCTCTGATACCATATTAACACAGAGAAGCTATGAATAGCAATGGATACTAGAATCGAATAAGAAGATGATGAGAAAAGATAGAGTGGAAGAAAGAGGAAATGTATTAAGGCTTTCAGTAATTCTTACAATACATTCTTACTCAAATGAGAACCCTATTACCCCTTATATACCCATAAGAACTAATTACAACAATAGCCTTCTACCTGTATTAACTAACCCACCTTCTAGATAATGCCATGTGGCATTTCTGTTATACATGTGGCAATTCTGTTATATTGGTTATTAGACCACACGCACACCATCCTTAACCAACACATTAGCGGGCTTCAAATCACGGTGGAAATAGCCGTTTCTGTGCATATAAGCCAGGCCCTGAAACATCTGAAAGCAGATGCTTCTAACTTCTTCCTCGGTGAATTTGGTTCGCCTTTTCATCATAAGATCAAGCAGACTGCTCTGCATATACTCAAAGACAAGGAATGCAGAATCGTTTTCGAAGATGACATCCTTCAACTGGACAATGTTGGGGTGCCTGAGCTTGGAAAGGGACTGAACTTCCGGTAGGTTTAGGCACTGCTCAAAGGAACTGAATGTCTCCCTCAGATACTTGACTGCAACGACTTCACCCGTCGGTTGGTGCTGCGCCTCAAATACCGTTCCGAAAGAACCACCGCCTAGTTGCTTAGTAATCCAAAACTTGTCCATGATCGGGTTGTAACTCGTAAGGAACCGAACCAACCCTCCAACAGTTAATGTGGGGCTAAACTAAACCCGTCAACGCCAAGGAACTAGTTGCGATCTCTGAGGAAAACCCTAGAACGTATGAACAATTGAACACTGATTAGGGTTCCTGAGAACAGAAGACTTGAAAGTTGAGAGCTTTTGGAATAACGAGAGAGAGAGAGAAGCAAGTTGGTAATTGTGGTTTGAGATTCGGGAAATTATGGATAGTGTGGAAATTAGGGTTCCAATTTATAGCTTCTTCCATTCCATTATCTCCCGATTGAACAAGGAAACGCGGCAAACAAGCAACTCACTCGGTTTAATTGGATTGCAACTCACGTGGCTTAATTGTATTGGTAGTTCCATTCGTGTAACGCAAGCAACCTCACTCTCCCAGTTGCTAGTTGCTACTTAACTCCACTGCGATATGGAAAGGGCTTTTTCGTAAATTGGTTTGACTTTGGGCACAAGGATAGGATTTTCCAACGGTCTGGATTTTCTAAAACTCCTTTTCACATGGATCAATAGCTGTCAACGGTCCAGACATTATAAAACATTAAAAAATTAAAAGGGTGTGGGAGAATTAATTTGGGATGTGCAAGTATAATCTCCCAAAAACAAAACCAACCCCCTCACAACAACAAAGCTTTATCTCTCATATTTTAATTTTTTTTTTGAACAAACGATATTATCTATACTAAGAGGAAGGGGGTGAGTTTAGCCTCATAACGAGTTAGCAACAATTTGGTTCCAATTCACCTTTGACGAGACTTGAACTTGAGACCTCTTACTTTTTATTTATTTTTATTTATTTTTTATTATCTACATTAAAGGAGAGGGGTAGGCTTAGCCTCACAATGAGCTAGCAATACCACTAAACCGTAGGCTATTGACCTCTCACTTACAAATGAAGAGGAATACTACTAGACCGAAATACTAAGTGACCTAATTCTTCTAATTAATTACACAACTTTAGGCTTATTTAGAGCATCAACTAAGTGGGGGTGTCAAAGTGCTCTAACCAAAGGGTTATGTCGTCAAAGTGCTCTAACCGAAGGGTTACATCCAGGGCCGGCCCTGAGAATTTGGGGGCCCTAGGCAAGCCTTCAAAGTGGGGCCCTAAAATTCTATGATCTTTGGTTCTTTGTATATTGATTTGTATAAAAAAGAATTCGCTAAATACATAAAAAGTTTTATTTTCATATCAAATATCATTAAAAATTAATATCAAAAGAAGATAAATGTACAAACATTATTTAAACCTTACACGATTCATGTTTTTAGACACAAATGTACTAAATGTTTACAGTCAAAAGTCTAAGATTGAGAGTGAAGAACAATAAAACTTGATTGACGAGTATAATAAATTCAATGCCAATTGTTTCTCTTGTGTTTTTTTTTCTTCTAAAATCAACATCACACTAACGAATTGAATATTAAAATAATCCATTGAATAAAAAGTTATTGAAAAGAAAAATATAAATTCAAAATTTTTATTACCTTAAAGTACAATCTTTAAGACCATATGATAGTTGGTTTAAACATTCAATAGAAATGGAGAGAATGAGAAGTTGGTTTAAACATTCAACAAAAACGGAGAGAATGAGAAGTTGAAAGAAAAAAAAAGATCACAAAGAGACTTGAGTTTTATAACTTTATATGCATTTGGACAAATGGATTGAGAGTTGGACAGATGGATTGGGAGTTGGACAGATGGATTGGCAATAAATTTGAAAATCAAGAAAAATCTAGTGACTGAAAGGCAGCATCATGTTTCGAAGTCAACACTCCAAAGAAAAATGAAGCCAACATTTTCACTGCACTAACAAATGAATTATGATATTTCTTACTTTTTTTTTGTATTTATATGTTAATTACAGGATATAAAACTTTTTTGGGGCCCTTCCAAAGTAGGAGCCTTAGGTGGGCGCCTACTTGGGCTACCCTCAGGGCCGCCCTTGATTACGTCTGACTAGGATTTGAAGGCAAGAAGCAGGATGCCCTTCAGCAACTAACTGATGTGTCAAATCCCGTTTCATCAATTTTTTAATATGCAGGTCTCATAAGGTTAGATGCTCATTTGCCTTGAAGACAATATGTCTACTAGTTCGCAGATCGCGTTTTGCTGCAGTGGCAAAAAACAAGTGTATATACACTCTAATGCAGATTTCATTTTCACCGATCATCTTTGCTTTAACAACTAACAATTTAACCCACTAACGCTATCGCTTATCAAACAATTTTTTTTTTACTCGTTCACCTTTAATAGTCAAGTTCAAATCTTTTGTGGTCGATTTTCATGTGTCCTATCTAATTAATCGACACATGTTCTCTTACTAAACCCTCATATAATAGGGTTAAGTAAAATACGATCAAATAGAATATATAGAGAATATTTTTAATAGAATATATAGAGAATATTTTTAAGAATGATTTTGTATAAAATCAATAAAATATTACAATATCAAGCGCATGTCAACAATATTTATTTAATTATAAACATGTCAATCATGTATTGTGATACTCAAATGCCATTTAAAATAATAAAAAATTTCAAAACCTGCGACTTATGACGCACCCCGACCCAGAATGTCCACTAGGACCCCGAATCGAGCCGTACTGGCCGACACCTGGAAGGTGACGAAGCCATAAAGTGTGATAATGTATAAAATGTGAATAAATTAAAATCTAAAAGTGCCTAAGTACACAAGTGCGCGGTGAGCGGGTTTGGGCCCATTTCGCACATGATACAAAGCATAAGTAAAGTACAATAAGTAAGATAATGATTATACCATCATAAGAAGCCACCTACACTGGGAAGTGGCACGAATCCTCGTGATACAGAACTCTGATGCTAGAACCTGGAGGGGTACAAAAACAGAAAATGTGAGTGAGTCAAATAAAACTCTTCAAACCAATTTCAACTACCAAAGATAGTAGCCCCTTGCCGCAATACTTGCTTAATTTCCCAGAAAATAACAGGCGTGACTATAAATCAAGACCATAACCAAAATGATAGTCTTACGGTTATGCTATGTCAATTATCTTAATAGGAATGAGTAACTTAGGTGAATTCAACATTGTGCAAGGTTATACTAAATCACATACTAAAATGTAGACTAATTATGGCATGGCATTTATAAAACATAAAACCACAATTTCTTGTTTCCTCGTACGTTGATTTATAACCAACATTTATTCACCCAAAACATAGGGTTAAATATCACGTTTTTCACCAGATTCCTTCACATTGCTCATTTTCCCAAACAAAGCTTTTGTCTCGATTATTTAATCTCACTTATTGTATGGCTGCATCTAACGTCTCGTTAGACTACCTACGTACCCTAAACAGGGATCAAGTCATTCGTAGTTCACATTAGTACTTCAAAGTATTGACAGTAATTATATGAAATATTCAATTTATAAACGTTTAAGGAGATGTCAATCTTATATATATAGATATATACTATAGAAGAGAAAAGACCTACTCACCTTAGGTCCGCGCTACAACTCTCTTGCACAAATATCGAGACATTACGAACTATCGTCGCCTGTGGCCAAGTATCAAATCATGACTTAGAGTTCTTACCAGTAAAATACATAATTTACATAAAAAAATATCCTCAAGGACCTTCAAGAATAATTTGAGACCCATTGACCAAGAGTCAATCGTCGATGGAAGATCGATGGTTGGGTCCACAACTCTGTATAACTCGATCCAGAAGATTCGCACGTTAGATTTACAATCCGCAACTTCCAAAGATCCACATTATGCTTCTAGAATAACATACTAAAATTTCATTACGATCCAACGGTCGGATCTCCGCCAATTGCCCAAAACTAAGTGGCAGTTAACATTTATTTTATAAACTTACAAATCCAATTCGGGAAGATCCGTACTTCAGATTCCCTATCTGTAAGTTTCTATGGTTCTCAAATATTAGGTAATATAATGTATTAAATTTTGGTGACGATCCAACGGTCGGATCGTCGATTACTCTCATAATCAAGTGATGGACCTTAGTGGAACTTTGCCGGATTCTACAGATTTTGCAGATTTCCTGGGCGATCTTTGGAACTCCATATCTCACTTGTTTTTCAACCAAATTCATCCCATAATATACCAAATCGAAGCTAGAGAAATGTAGAACAAATTTATACCAGCTTGGATTCCAAATGGTGGCCGGAGGTGGTCGGACAATGGTCTGAAAGATGATTGTCCGAGGGAAAACTAGTAACTGGCCGGAATTTCTGGGCTACCTTTCAATGTCGATAACTTTGTCAATACTTAACGAAAATAGGTGATTCAAAACGGAAATCATAGTTCGCGATGAGACGAAGAGATTGGTACCTTACATGATGGCTAACTCGCCGTAGTTTAGCCGGAAAACGCCCCGAAAGTGGCTGAGGTCACCGGAAACTTGGCAACCTTAAAATCGTTATAGCTATCTCATTTCTCCACCAAATTAAATGATCCAAACATGAGGATTCATCTACAAAACATGGGGAATTGTTTTGTACCTGCTACGAAGGCCAATTGGGTCGAGAAACACCTCAAATCACCACGAACCGTACGAAACCCTTGAATTTGGGTGTGCTCCATTCGACATCGAACGAACTCCGACGCCCCAAAACTTGTTTGGGCTTTATTCAAGACCTCATGAGGATGCTATAGGTGGTGGTAATTGGTGAAAATCGTTTCAATAATAGGAGAATCGACAGTAAAGGTTTCCCGCACCCACTGGTGCGGTTTTCATACCTTCATGGTTAAATTTCTACAATTTTGGGTTGTAATGGGTAGAGGGAAGGTCGTGGAACATTTTCCAGAGGGTTAGATAACGTGGTTCGCCGGAAAAACCGACGAAAAACCCCCGGAGAAGATGAAAAGGACCGGGTCGGGTCGAAAAATGGAACCGGGTCAACGAATCCCCCGCTCCTCTCTTCCCTCCTTTTTTCCTCCTTTCCTTTGTTTTTGATTGGGTCATCCTAACTCTCTCCTCTCCCTATTAGTCACACACTTCCTCTCATTTTTTCTTTTATCTTCTTTCCTTTACATCTCCACCATCCATTCCTCATTTCCTTTAATCTGGGCCACCCACGTGGCATTCCAGATTTTCCCCTCAACAAAATTTGAAATTAATTAATTTACTAAAATATTTTTAACTTTAAATATTAATAACTCTTTCGTTATAGCTCCAAATCCCATCCTGTTTGCGCCCACACGTCCGTAGCGACTAGTAACATGAGAATACGCCAAGAAAATGAGTCTCACATGACACGACGCGGTAGTCAACACAAGTCAACACTTTGCCTCGAAGGGCATCTTCATAACTCAACTATTAAAATTATAAAATCATCATTTTTAGGGACAGGCTGTTACAACTTAGGTCAATACCGATCAGACACTGTAACGCAACTTCTATTTCTTGATTCTGTTTTTTAACATTTGGATTCAAACGCTGCATTGAAACTACAATTTGATGCTTGAACACAAGTACGCAAAGCTAAGACATAACGACAACGATTTTATCAACCACGTTTTCCATTGTTTTCCAAACATCCATTTTAATGCCACAGCGACAACAATTACAAAACATACTTGGCACCAAGGTAGTTAGTTATATGACATATCAGAGGGTGGATCAAAGGATCTCAAAACAAGCACCGCAAAATTTGCAGCATATTCGACAGTAAAACCCCTAATAACCAAACATTTTTTACCATTTTTCTACAGGTCAATTGTTGCAGTAGGACTCCCCTCAATCCTCAATCATTGCTACATCTTCTGCCTGTCGAATAAATGGTGAACCTTTAGCAGAGACTCGCTGTTCCAATGCCAAATTAGCAATAAATTTCCTAGAAAGCTCCTCCAGATTTTCAACCGTGAGCAAAGTACATCCAGATACAGAATGCTTCTTCTGAATCAATTGACTTCCATGAACAACCACCAAGCAATGTTTCACTGTCTCCATTAGCTTCTTCTGACTGCTCGGAAGCAGGTAACAAGAAACTCTATCCCTCTCCCTTCTCAAGCATGCCTCTACCTTCAACATGTAATCCGTGTACGAGTACTCCAAAATCCAACTTGATGCTTTATGCAAATAGTACTTGCGAGTATCAATGAGCATGTATTCTTCGAAGTCCTTTTCATACGCATCCAATTCTCCCATTTCAATTTCAACATATATATTTATCACATTCTTTAGTAGTGCTCTGTCAATTTTCTCTCCCTCACGTTCTTTATGCATAAGTCCAAGTACATAATATCTCACATTAGCATTTACCTTCAGATAAACCAAATTACAGAAGCAGTTAAGTACAACTTCATTCGGCCCAGGAAGTGATGTCTGATTCCGAGTGATGCCACGGTCATAAAAAAAACAAAAGAAGTGTGAGAGCCACCTAAACATAACTTTATAATTTACCCAATTTTTGACGTACTCCTGCAACATAAACTCATCCTGCTTCTCCATTAGGGGCGGCAGCACTGTTGAAGAAATGTATTCCTCAATTGTCTCCTGATACTTTTCATAGAGCTGCTGAGAATAATTATGAGGAGGTTGTTGAATAGACATGTTATAGAGAGTTGTGTAAAGGCTCATATATTCTTCTGAGGTGAACTGAGGTTCTGATGATCCTTGTATAATCCTGTTCATCTTTACGATCCCCTGCTGTACGTGGTCCCATCCTTGATCCCACTCGATAACTTAGTAACCCATTGTCTTGTTGGATGCCTTCGCCTGCCCATTGCTTTGGGGATATCTAAGCGTAGATATATTCTGCTTGATGCCATATTTCTAGAACAACTTCGCCAAGTCTTTGCCCACGAATTACAGGCAATTGTCAGTGATGATAGATTATGGTTGAAGCACTCTATGTCTAATTGAGTAGTGGTGGTCATGAGCTCAGCTTCTACCCACTTGGTGAAGTAGTTGGTAGCCACAATCATTATGCTTTGCCCCTAGTATCAGGCAGCTTGGGCCCTACTAGGTTGATTTCCCACTGCATAAATGGCCATAGGCTTGTCTGCGGGTGGAGCTCGCTGGCAAGTAGTAAGGGTACAGGCTTGAGCGTTGATATCTGTTGTACTTTTGAACAATTCCTTAGCGTCTTAATGCACGGTAGACTAGTAGTAGCCGGCGTTGAAGACCTTATGTGCTAAGGATCGGCCTCCTTAGTGGTTTTCGCAAACTCCTTTGTGGATCGAGCTCAAAACTTTTAAGTCATCAGGAGGCACTTTGCAACGAATGATGTGGGCCTGAAAAGGACCTTCAGACGAGAATGTCGTTCCACATATAGTAGCATGTCACCTTTATTTGTAGCTTCCTAGCTTTTAATCTTTCTACAATAAGTGTCCTATTGACTAGGTAGTAGATGATAGGATCTTGCCAACTTGGGATTGTACTAACTTGTAACCCCTCAGCTGTTGGTTCTTCTTCTATACTCGGCTTTCCCAAATACTCGATCGGGATGGAGCATCTGAATTGGTAGTCCAAAGTAGAGTTGAAGGCTGTCATGGTGTTTGCATGAGCGTTATTTACCTATGGCACCTATGTGAGGGTCTAAGTCTGAAACGCCTCAAGTTGCTTTCGTACCTTCTCGAGGTATAATGTCATCCTTAGATGCTTTGTTGCATACTCCCTGGTAGTCTGGCTAGTGATGAGCTGAGAATCGGAATGGATTGCGAGCCTCTTGACTGCCAGATCTTGTGCCATTCAGAGTCCTGTTAATAAGGCATCATACTCTACTTCGTTGTTGGATGCCTTGAGTTGTAAATTAAAGCCTTGCGTTATGTTATCTGAGTTTCCTTTTTCCTCGCAAATTAGCCTGCAAGTAATTTGTTCATTTACTTACTAAGTGTCGATGTCTGATTATGTTTCGAACACTGAAATGTGAACCAAACAAAACAATGGGACTCAGTTGAAATGAAATTTGTAGGTATATATCGCAGATTAATGAGAGCTTACTAAACTGTATCATACATACATACATTACATGTAGTTGGCCTGCTGCCACTCTACGTTGAGCATTCAAATAAACTACACTCGTTAAAATAAAATTTGTATCTAGTTTTTGAAAGCTAATGAATCAAATGCAGTTAACTACCCACATTATTCGTGTCAAATCTAGGCGAAAATAAGAGAGTTTGATGCAGGCAGGATATTGCTTTGTCTCAAAGGGATGGCTCGTGGAATCTTGTAGTTGCCAACGAAGAAAGGATGCCGTAGTGCCTCAGCAGCAGTAGGCCTCGCGGAAGGGTCCCAAGAACAAAGGGAAGAAATCAGCTGGATGGCAGATCTGCTTGCAGAAGGAATCATCGCAGATAGACCAACCCCGCCAATTTTTGGAAACTGATAGTTCAAGTTTTGGGCAAGAAGCTGTCCCTCTGGCCATGACTCCCAAGTGGGACTGCCTATAACACTGCAAATCTTGAACATCTGATCATCAGCACTTTCACCGGGAAATAGAGGCCAGAATGAAAACAGCTCCGCTATGATGGCAACCATTGCCCACATATCGACCTTAGGACCATACAAGCCTGACCGAAGAAACACCTCAGGAGCACGATACGGACGAGTAGTGACGTAGTCTGTATAGGGAGGAGGTGAATCAATCTCCTTAGCCGAACCCAAATCTGCAATCTTGACCACACGCGCACCATCCTTAACCAACACATTAGCGGGCTTCAAATCACGGTGGAAATAGCCGTTTCTGTGCATATAAGCCAGGCCCTGAAACTTCTGAAAGCAGATGCTTCTAACTTCTTCCTCGGTGAATTTGGTTCGCCTTTTCATCATAAGATCAAGCAGACTGCTCTGCATATACTCAAAGACAAGGAATGCAGAATCGTTTTCGAAGATGACATCCTTCAACTGGACAATGTTGGGGTGCCTGAGCTTGGAAAGGGACTGAACTTCCGGTAGGCTTAAGCACTGCTCAAAGGAACTGAATGTCTCCCTCAGATACTTGACTGCAACGACTTCACCCGTCGGTCGGTGCTGCGCCTCAAATACCGTTCCGAAAGAACCACCGCCTAGTTGCTTAGTAATCCAAAACTTGTCCATGATCCGGTCGTAACTCGTAAGGAGCCGAACCAACCCTCCAATAGTTAATGAAGCTAAACTAAACCCCTCAACGCCAAGGAACTAGTTGCGATCTCTGAGGAAAACCCTAGAACGTATGAACAATTGAACACTGATTAGGGTTCCGGATCTCTGAGAACAGAAGATTTGAAAGTTGAGAGCTTTTGAAATAACGGGAGAGAGAGAAGCAAGTGTTAGAACCAAGTGTTTATTGAAAAAGATCTCTGTAAACTGGGAGGAAATTCACATAGTCATTAATCAAGAAAACCGGCTTTATATAAGCCTTACATAACAGAAAGATAAGCATGCAACCCACGTTAAACACAAACCTAAACGTGGTGTATGACTAACTCTGAAATAAAACAACTTCAACTGATCCCTACATTCTAGGGTTTATTTAGTCATGCAGTTATAACTGCTATCCCGAACAAAAACTAAGCTGACGTAGTGGATAGAACCACTACATTCAACAAACCTAATAATTCTAACATCCTCCCTTAAACTGATTACTAAGTATTCAGTTTACTCCTGGTTCCAGACACACTCCCATAAGCTCACGCATCTTCAGAAAAGCATCAGTCTTCAAAGGCTTGGTTAATATGTCTGCTACTTGTTCTTGAGTGTTGCAATGAACCAAATTCACAATTTCATCCTTAGTCAGCTCACGAAGAAAGTGGAAACGTACATCTATGTGTTTGCTTCGACCATGCATTACAGGATTCCTGGAGAGCTTTATTGCTGAGCTGTTGTCACAAAAAATCGTTGTGGAGTCTTGCTGAGTTTGACCTAATTCCTTCATTATTCTTCTCAACCAGGTTGCCTGACAGGCACATGAAGCTGCTGCTATGAATTCGGCTTCAGTTGTTGATAACGTGACCACAGGTTGCTTCTTGGAAGACCAACACACAGCTCCTGAGCTTAGCATAAACAAATACCCCGATGTGCTCTTTCTGTCATCTAAGTCACCTGCATAATCACTATCTGAATAGCCTCTGAGCTCAACATGTTCTCCCTTTTTGTAAAGAATTCCAAGGCTGATCGTGCCTTTTAAATACCTCAGAACCCTTTTTGCCGCTGCCAAATGCATCTCGGTTGGACTCTCCATAAACCTGCTAATTAGGCTTACTACAAACATAGTGTCAGGCCGAGTGGCTGTGAGATACATGAGGCTCCCCACGATCTGTTTGTAGAAGGTATTGTCGACCTTCTCACCCGTCACATCCTTCGTTAGCTTGGTACCTCCTTCTCCAGTTTTAATGAACAAAGTGTGTTCATAGGGACACTTCACAAACCCTTCCTTCAAGAAATAAGCTTCTATTACGACTATACTAAGCACGAGGGGCTTGTTTAAGTCCATATAGAGCTTTCCTTAATTTGTAAACTTTATGCTCCTTTCCTCTCTGCACATACCCAGGTGGTTGTTCTACAAACACTTCTTCACTGATATCTCCATGTAGGAAGGCATTTTTCACGTCCAGTTGATGAATCGTCCATTCCCTTTGCGCAGCAAGTGCAATGACAACTCGAATGGTATCCAACCGAGCCACAGGAGCAAACACTTCAGCATAATCAACCCCATATTCTTGAGCATACCCTTTAGCCACAAGCCGAGCTTTGTACTTGTCCACCTCTCCATTCTCATTCAGTTTAGTCTTGTAAACCCATTTGACTCCGATCATCTTCCCACCTTGAGGTAAATCTGTCAATTCCCAAGTGTTGTTCCTCTCAATAGCTGCTATCTCGACATCCATAGCTTTCCTCCATTTACCACTTTTTGCAGCTTCATTGTAGCTGGTTGGATCGCTGTTTGCTAAAAGAGCCAAGTGCACCATGTCTTCTTCTTCAGATAATCCTTCTCCCGTTACATAATCTCTCATCCACACCGGCGGAGCCCTAGGTCTTCTTTCTTCTGGACTGGATGAACTTGCTTCTGAGACTCCGTATGATCCACTATTGTTGCTTGTGTTATTTTCATTTCCATCGAATCCATCTTCATCTTCTCCCTGATTATCAACTTCATCAGCTTCAACTTCTTTATCTTCATCACTTTCATCCCATTCCAGATCTGCTATGACAGCTTCATGATGATGCTCATCCCATTCCCAGCTGCTATTCTCATCAAATCTAACATCACGGCTGATTACGATCCTCTGCGAAACTGGATCAAATAGCCGATAGGCCTTTGATCATTCGCTAACTCCAAGTAGCACACATTTCATACTTTTGTCATCCAGCTTGGTCCTCTTATTGTCTGGAATATGTATGTATGAAATGCACCCAAAAACCCTGAAGTAACTCACTGACGGTATCGTACCACTCCACGCTTCCTCGGGTGTTTTGTTTTTTACTGCAAGTGTGGGACTCCTGTTGAGCACATGAACTGTCCAGTTTGCTGCTTCAGGCCAAAAAGTCTTTGGCATCTTCTTCTCGGTTAATAAGCTTCGAACCATGTTCATGATGGTCCGATTCTTACGTTCAGCTACTCCGTTCTGCTGCGGGGTGTAAGCTGCTGTCAGTTGTCGTTGGATCCCATTCTCAACACAAAACTCAACAAACTCGTGAGATGTAAACTCTCCTCCACGATCCGTCCGCAATCTTTTAATACTTGCATCAGTTTCATTCTCCACAAGACTTTTGAAAGCTTTAAAAACTCGAAAAGCTTCTGACTTTTCAGTTAAAAAATAGATCCAAGTCTTACGACTAAAATCATCAATGAAGGTGAGTAAATACCTCTTCTTGCTATTGGAGGTAGGCTTTATCGGTCCACATATATCTGCATGAATGAGTTGTAGAATTTGACAAGCCCTTCAAGTACTCATTTTTGGAAAAGGAATCTCTCGATTGCTTGCCTACCAAGCAAATCTCGCATATTCTTGAAGAGTCATTTATCTGAGGTAATCCACTCACCATCTGCTTCTGTTGTAGAGTCTTTAAGCCACCAAGACTCAAATGCCCATATCTGCAATGCCACAACTGAATCGGATCATCCGTGAGGGCATTGAAACATTCCTGGACATTGGATTGATATTGGGCAACAAGAGTGAACATGCGGTTTGCAGCCATAACCGTCTCTATGATCAGTCCCCTTTTAGGATGAAAGATCTTGCATCTCCCGTGTTGAATGAGAATAGCAAGACCTTTCTCTTGAAGCTGACCAATACTTAGAAGATTGTTCTTTAAAGCAGGCACATAGAAGACTCCCGTGATCACCTGAATCAATCCACTCACTTGTAGTCGAATGTTTCCTTTTCCCAAAACAGCCATACTAGTGTTGTTCCCTAGTTTCACAGTTTCTCTAAAACTTCCATCAAAATCAGAGAATAACTCCCTCTTACCACACATATGATTGCTGCAACCCGAGTCCAGGAACCAAATATCTTCTTTGATCTCTTGAGTATCTACGTACGCCATTAGCAACATCTCTTCACCAGCCTCTGCATAGTTGACCTTTGTTTCCTTGTCTTTCTTAGGACACTCATACTGATAGTGCCCTAATTCATGACAATTATAGCACTCAATTGCTGATTTGTCAAAATTTTGCCGACCTCTTCCTCTACCTCTTCCACGGAAGCTTCCTCGACCACGTCCTCTTCCTCCAGAATTCTCTTCATAGGTCACCTTTAGTGCTTGCTCCTCCACAATGTGTCCAATCATCCGCTGCTCATGCACTAGCAAACTACTTTGCAGTTCATCAATTGAGAGAATATCTAGATCTTTGGATTCCTCAATTGAACAAACCACATAGTCATATTTAGGAGTCATCGATCTCAAGATCTTCTCAATGACTTCTACATCCGTCAATTTGTCGCCATTGATCCTTCTCTTGTTGGCTATGGTCAGAGTTCGACCAAAAAACTCATTCACAGTTTCTCCTGTCTTCATGTGAAGCATCTCAAACTCCTTTCGAAGTGCTTGCAACTGTGCTCGCTTGACTCGAGCAGTCCCTTGATACTTCTGTTTCAACGAATCCCAAATCTCCTTAGCCGTATCCTCATTCAAGATCGTTTCCAAAACACCCCGATCAATTGCCTGAAACAGGTAGTTCTTGGCCTTTAGATCTTTCAACTTTTGATCTTCGAGCACTTTCCGTTGCCCCTCCGAGGGTGAGGCTGCTTCTGCTGCTGCAGGGATTCCATGCTCCACAATACTCCAGTATTCCTTTGAACGTAGGAAATTTTCCATAAGCATCGCCCAGTGGTCATAATGCCCATCCAGTTTTGGAATGGATGCTTACACAAAACCACTTCCGTCGCCTGCCATATTCTCGTACCTCTTCACTCAAAAGATTGCTATCTCTCAAGCTTCGATCAAGAGCCCCAGGGTGGGGCTCTGATACCAAATGTTAGAACCAAGTGTTTATTGAAAAAGATCTCTGTAAACTGGGAGGAAATTCACATAGTCATTAATCAAGAAAACCGGCTTTATATAAGCCTTACATAACAGAAAGATAAGCATGCAACCCACGTTAAACACAAACCTAAACGTGGTGTATGACTAACTCTGAAATAAAACAACTTCAACTGATCCCTACATTCTAGGGTTTATTTAGTCATGCAGTTATAACTGCTATCCCGAACAAAAACTAAGCTGACGTAGTGGATAGAACCACTACATTCAACAAACCTAATAATTCTAACAGTTGGCAATTGCGGTTTTGAGATTCGGGAAATTATGGAAAGTGTGGAAATTAGGGTTCCAATTTATAGCTTCATTCATTCATTCCACTATCTCCCGACTGAAAAAGGAAAGGGCTTTGTAATTGGATTGCAACTCAGTTGGTTTAATTGGATTTGTAATTGAATTCGTGCAACGCAAGCAATCCCACTCTCCCAGTTGCTACTTGTTACTTCACGGAGTCGACTTCCCAACCGCTCTAGGAAGGAAGGGGCGTTTTCGTCAATTGGCTTTACCTTGGGTACAAGGTTAGGATTTCCAACGGTCAGGATTTTGTAAAACGCGTTTTCACTTGGGTCAATAGCTGTCAACGGTCCAGATATTAAACGCGGTTGTGTGAAGCTATGAAGTGAAAAAGGAAGTTGTTAGGATTTCCAACGGTCAGGATTTTGTAAAACGCGTTTTCACTTGGGTCAATAGCTGTCAACGGTCCAGATATTAAACGCGGTTGTGTGAAGCTATGAAGTGAAAAAGGAAGTCGTTAAACTAAAAAGGAGAGGAAAAAAATCCGAAAGATTATATTCACACATCATAAATTACTTCTTCCATACCATTTTAATTTTTTAATATTTTCTACACACCACTAACACTTGATAGAAAAATATTAAAAAATTAAAAAGGGGTGAGAGAAGTAATTTGGGGTGTGTGAGTATAATCTCTCAAAAACAAAACCAACCCCCTCATAACAACGAAGATTTATCTCACATATTTTAATTTTTTTTAACAAACGATATTATCTATACTAAGAGGAAGGGGGTGAGTTTAGCCCACAACGAGTTAGCAACAATTTGGTTCAAATTTGCCTTTGAAGAGACTTGAACTTGAAACCTCTCACTTTTTTTTTTTTTTTTTTTTGACTATCTACACTAAATGAGAGAGATGTAAGCTTAGCTTCATAATGGGTTAGCAATACCACTAAACCGTAGGCTATTGACTTCTCACTTACAAATGAAGAGGAATACTACTAAACTGAAATACTAAGTGACCTAATTCTTCTAATTAATTACGCAACTTTAGGCTTATTTAGAGCATCAACTAAGTGGGGGTGTCAAAGTGCTGTAACCGAAGGGTTACGTCGTCAAAGTGCTGTAACCGAAGGGTTACGTCTGACTAGGATTTGAAGGTAAGAAGCAGGATGCCCATCAGCAAGTAACTGGGGTGTCAAATCCCGTTTCATCAATTTTTTTAATATGCAGGTCTCATAAGGTTAGATGCTCATTTGCCTTGAAGACAATTTGTCTACTAATTCGCAGATCGCGTTTCGCTGCAGTGGCAGAAAACAAGTGTATATACACTCCAATGCAGATTCTATTTTCACCGATCATCTTTTCTTTAACAACTAACAATTTAACTTACTAACGCTATCACTTGTCAAATTTTTTTTTTTTTACTCGTTCACCTTTAATAGTCAAGTTCAAATCTTCTATGGTCGATTTTCATGTGTCCTATCTAATTAATCGACACATGTTCTTTTACTAAACCTTCATATAATAGGGTTAAGTTTAATACGATCAAATAGAATATATAGAGAATATTTTAAGAATGATTTTGTATAAAATCAATAAAATATTACAATATCAACAGCATATCAACAATATTTATTTAATTATAAACATGTCAATCATGTATTATGATACTCAAATGCCATTTAAAATAATAAAAACTTTCAAAATCTGCCACTTAGGTCAATACCGATTAGACACTGTAATGCAACTTCTATTTCTTGATTCTGTTTTTTAACATTTGGATTCAAACGCTGCATTGAAACTACAATTTGATGCTTGAACACAAGTACGCCAAGCTAAGACATAACGGCAGCGATTTTATCAACCACGTTTTCCATTGTTTTCCAAACATCCATTTTAATGCTACAGTGACAACAATTACAAAACATACTTGGCACCAAGGTAGTTAGTTATATGACATATCAGAGGGTGGGTCAAAGGATCTCAAAACAAGCAGCGCACAGTTTGCAGCATATCCGAAAGTAAAACCCCTAATAACCAAACATTTTTTACCATTTTTCTACAGGTCAATTGTTGCAGTGCGACTCCCCTCAATCCTCAATCATTGCTACATCTTCTGCCTGTCGAACAAAGGGCAAACCTTCAGCAGAGACTCGCTGTTCCAATGCCAAATTAGCAATAAATTTCCTAGAAAGCTCCTCCAGATTTTCAACCGTGAGCAAAGTACATCCAGATACAGAATGCTCTTCTGAATCAATTGACTTCCATGAACCACCACCAAGCAATGTTTCACTGTCTCCATTAGCTTCTTCTGACTGCTCGGAAGCAGGTAACAAGAAACTCTATCCCTCTCCCTTCTCAAGCATTCCTCTGCCTTCAACATGTAATCCGTGTACGAGTACTCCAAAATCCAACTTGATGCTTTATGCAAATAGTACTTGCGAGTATCAATGAGCATGTATTCTTCGAAGTCCTTTTCATACGCATCCAATTCTCCCATTTCAATTTCAACATATATATTTATCACATTCTTCAGTAGTGCTCTGTCAATTTTCTCTCCCTCGCGTTCTTTATGCATAAGTCCAAGTACATAATATCTCACATTAGCATTTACCTTCGGATAAACCAAATTACGGAAGCAGTTAAGTACAACTTCATTCGGCCCAGGAAGTGATGACTGATTCCGAGTGATGCCACGGTCATAAAAAAAACAAAATAAGTGTGAGAGCCACCTAAACATAACTTTATAATTTACCCAATTTTTGACGTACTCCTGCAACATAAACTCATCATGCTTCTCCATTAGGGGCGGCAGCACTGTTGAAGAAATGTATTCCTCAATTGTCTCCTGATACTTTTCATAGAGCTGCTGAGAATAATTATGAGGAGGCTGTTGAATAGACATGTTATAGATAGTTGTGTAAAGGCTCATATATTCTTCTGAGGTGAACTGAGGTTCTGATGATCCTTGTATAATCCTGTTCATCTTTGCGATCCCCTGCTGTACGTGGTCCCATCCTTGATCCCACTCGATAACTTGGTAACCCATTGTTGTTGCCAGAAATTTAAAATCCTCCAACTAGTAAATAAAACACCCACGATATTTTCTATCAAGCTAGATACCTTGAGTGATTAAACATTTACAATTTGGAAGTTGTATCAGATTCTTCTCCTTTCATCAAATTCATAACCACCACAAGCTAACATGTTAAACTAATCAACTCTGAATCCATATTAACATTCCTTTTTCCCGTAACCTTGATGATACGAGGGACACATTAAAATAAAATAAAGCACGAAGAGCACCAAGCCAGGGGAAGCATAATGAGCATAAAATAAAAACAGCATATATACAACAGAACCCAACTGAAAGCTCTCCTCGATTTCCATTTTCGACATATACAGAATGTAACGGGCTATGATGTTGACTTTACGAGGAAAGACTCAGAAGGGTATTGCACTAAACTCAGTGCCAGTAGCAATGACTGAAAAATATGATGCACATTTGGAAAGATTTTATTTTATTTTATTTTTTTTATACAGAAATCGGCATCTGTATCCCTGCAGATTCTCAACTATACTCCTCATTACACTTTAACCACGACGGTTTTCGAGTTTTTCATTCTTCATATTATGCATTGATCCTTTTATGAAAAAAAAAATATGTGTATGCCTAGCAATTGGATAATCCTATGCTTATTCCTAAATAATTAAAAGCGGAAAATAACTGAAAATTAAAAAAAGTAAATGAACAGAAATTATGAACAAGCAGCACAGAAGGAAGAAGGAATTTACCCTTAACTTATTCGCCGGTGAAAATTCTGGTTTGCTTTTCTGCTTTCGCCTGCAATCTACTTTGGTCCTTGTGAATTTGGGAACAATCTTTTCTCCGATCAAAGTAATTTGAAAGAAATAATTGGAAAGCAAGTGACGAGAGATCTGCGAAGAGGATCCCAATGCAGCAAAAGGAGAGTACTTTTCCACAAGCTCATTTGATAGCAAGCAGATTTTCAGAAGCCATGAGAGGTAGAGCTAAGAGCTAGAGGAGAGAAAACCCCAAACCCCATTTGTATATACTACAGAGAAATAAGGATTTGAATGTGGTTCGAGTAGTTTTCATTGTTACCTTCAAGTCCTCGGAGTTTTTTGTTTGTTTCAGTTAAGTCCCTATTGTTTGTATGTGTTTGTATTGGGGCCGGCTTTCACGAATGATTACTTAGTTTTAACAATACCTGGTAACGTTTAGTAGCGTTGGTTTGTAATTAAGCAGAAAATTTGAATGACGGATAACTTAAAGTAGTGAATGATTCATTATCACCTCATGCTCTAGTCAAATTAAGAATGTCACAAACCTTCAAGTTAGTAAAATAAACGTCATTGTTAACATTATCAACTTAATCTAATGTCATACACGATGCTATGCTTGATAGTATTGTGCATGACATTAGGCACCCTGCCCAATGACTCCTATCAGTTTCATTTAAGTTCACCAATCGAAAGTGCAACCAAGTTGTGCATGCTATAGCTTTCTTTCGGACTCAGATCCACTTCGGATCAGTCCCGTGGGGATCCTCTTGACGAATTAATCTCATCCGTTGATGCATATCCAACAGTCGGATTAGTTACATGTCTCTCTCTCCCTTCCCCTTCCTCTCTTTGCCCTCAACTCCTATCTCCCTCACTTGGGTGCACCCACCACCACCCCCTGCATCTTTTCGGTCTTCTTCAGCCCAATTAAATTCCTTGTTTACTTTTGTAATTCTTATTTTTGAGTCTTGCCGTTTTTTCTTTGATATTTTCTTAGCTCCTTCAAATTGGGACTTTATCCAACAGTAAGAGGAATTTGCAGCTGGGGACGTTGGGGTGGGAGAGAGCCGGAAAGGGTTGCTGGGTTGTGTAAGATGTGGGATTACAGTGGCGATGGGTGCTTCCAAGTGAGGAAGAAAGAGGAGTTCAGGCTGAGAAAAACTAAACTGAGGTCGAGAAGAATTTTTCTTGGCAGCTCGGCCTGCCTATGTATATATATATTGATCCAAGGCCGAAGCTTATCAAATATCCTGAATCTTGGATTTGACAACCCAACTTCCAGTATAAAACCTTTTGGCTGACTCTTAGATATATATATATATATATATATATATATATTGATAGCCCTCCAATCCCCCACTTTGATCAAAAGAAAGTGGGAAAACCACTTTATTGACAAAGTTTGCAACCATCTATGAAAACCACTTTGTCCCTTTCATGCACATGCATTCTATTTATTAGCATTTGATGGGTACCATCTATGAGAAAGCTACCGCAACGACTTGATGACCAAAGCTATGATCAAAGAAGTAATAATCTTGGGAGCTCAGCCTTTCAGGTCGAGAAAATTCATTTTGGCTGAGGTCGAGGAAAGTTATGGTCGAGTACAAGAACTGCTAACTTGCTAATGAGGAATAGTCGAAAATTTTGGGAAGCCGAGTAATGACTGAGGATTTTAACCTTATCCGTTGCACTCGACTGTTTCTAGACAAATCGCTTAAGCAGGAACTCCCACATTTTTGGCCCTCCTACTGCCTTGGGTGATGTAGACCACCAAATTTGATTTACACCAACTTCGACCAAAGCTCATATATGTCAGATTTTCATTTGTATGGCACCATTGAAAGCACAATGCACACAACAAATAACAGTGTCTGCCCCCCTATTTTCTTTACATCGGCTTGCATAGCCGTATGTTTAAGAAAATAATTTATTCATTATATATATATATATATTTTTTTTTTTTTAGCAGACGAAAATAAAAATGGTCGAACCATAATCAGGAGGAGGCCAACAATGCTTTATTCCAAGCCGAGATCTTTTTACATCAAAATTTTCACTTTGAGATTTTCCGAAGCCGAATAAAAGATCATCTGCAAATGTGTTCAACTTGACGAAATTGTTTTTATCATCAGCCGCCGAATGTGTTGAACAATTATTATGCCCCCCAAGCATAATAATTTTGCCAATTTCGGCTTTTAACTCAAACAACTTAGCTGAACGAGATTTTTCCATATCGGCTTTATCACCAATAATCATATCAATTGGCGTGGTTTGTTCAGCTGAAACCGTGAATTGGTCTTGTTCGTCATTGGAACATTCCTCTAACAAACCATTTCCAAGTCAATTTCTGGCTCAGAGACTTGAACTTTTTCGTCTAGGCCTACTACACTCTTAATGTTAGCCAAAACAACGGGTGGCCTAGGTATTTCTTCAGCCGCCCAGACAATTTTCATAGGCCAAATGTTGGTTGTGGTCGAAGCGAAAAATTGCCCCCTGGCCTTTTGATCTAACCATTCCTCAAATGGAATTGATTTGAACCCAAAAGACGTTTTCTTATCGAGTCACTCATAAAATCGAGCTCTATCTTCATTTAACCATTGATCTTGTAAGCTGTGATGAACCTTCACCTTTATCATTTGAGAGAAAGATTTTTGCTTTTCTTCATTTGCTTCAACGATTCGGCCAAGGAGTTTTTGTTGCTCAACAATTTCCTTGAATAGGCGCCGAATCTCATCCTGATTGTGATCTTGATATATCATGTGAACTTCGTAATTTTAGCACTGAGTCCCACTGGGCATGCCAAAATGTTAACCCTAAAAACTACCAAGCCTACGTGGCGTGCAGGCTGAGTAATTAGTAAGCCAACTACGTCCTTCGGTTGTATGCAGGGCGTGCTAACTCGTCGACCGAGCTCGGCCGAGGAGTAAAATGTGTTGATGTTGCGTTGAGCGCGCGACTGACTTCTTGATCTCGTGACTGCGGTTGAGGAAGGAACACATCTCGGCCTTCAAGTTCTAGAGCTCGAAGACAAAGCTACTAGTTCTACGAAGTTCACAAATCGTCGGCACCGGATTCAATCATGGTGATTATATTCATGTAAGTATAAGCACGTCGAATCGACACCAAAGTATAGGGAACACAAATACTCAAAACAAATGTATGTCTTGATTGTGAAAGTGGTTCAGCCGTCAGAATGCCGAACTCTAAAACCTACTTGCGAATAACCAATCATAAACGACTCGGCATTCAATGTACCGAGTATAGTAACTTGTAACACCTCGTTTCGTCGAGAAGGCAAACGAGATGACCTCTACCGATAAGGATTCGAAAATCCTCCTCAACCGAGACTTGGATAGATAACCAATCGACCTTATCGCATTGCTGTTTATCCAAACTGAAGGTGCTCCACGGTCAGCTGATTCTACGGCAACAGTGTTGTTTATCCAAACTGAAGATGTTCGCCGGTTACGTTCACATTGCTTTTTATCCAAATTGAAGATGTGTTGGCAAAAAAGGAAAATAAAAAATCTCAAGATGTTTGAGAGGTTTAGAGTAGAGTGAGGGTTTGCGCAGGGCAGTTTGTGTGTTGAATTGGAAGGGAGCTTCCATTGCACTGAGTCTTATACTTATAAGGTTGGATATCTGCTTGTCGCGGCTGGATGATAAACCTCTCAATCGCACCCAAAGTCTTTGTGATGGAATATCCTGAGAAATAAAACCATGACCACATGCGAATCTGACGAAAAATAGAGACTTCTGCATGCCAATCCCACTTTATCCCACCTTTGACTGATCTCTATCCAATCACTGAATCTTTTGGGATGGTTCTACACGGCTCTTCATGTCAAAAATCTCACCTTGCTATAATCCTGACAACCTAACCTTCCATCATAATTGGAAGCCTAGCTAGGCTAGGCCTCATTTTCTTGCCATGTGCAGGTTACGGCAGCCATCACTCAAATATATATAAATATATATATATATATATATATAAATATATGTAAGTATATAATCATATAGGGTTATATAACAGGCAACCTTTCCCACGACATGCACAGGCGAATCCCATCATCAATTCAATTCATCTGACATAACCCAGCCTACCTAGGTCTTGTATCTCACCATTATCCAAGCCTTGCAAATCCCATACTATGCCACGTGATAAGAATCCAAGCCGAGTTGCTCTAACCCACACGGTACACTGCTAACAAATCCAAATTAAATCGAACTATTCCACCTGTCTCTCCGTTGAGATATAATTTGAATCCTATTTATCTGGTTTAAGAAGATGCATATAATTCGTATTAAAAGATAATTATGATAAAAACCATAATATTATCCTTTAACAAAAATATCTTCCCTTTTCTGTCCGACAGTTGAGAACTATGCTTACTCAACGGCCTTGATTACACGGGTCGATGGTGTAAATTTGGGTCTAAACAATAACATTCAGGTGTATCAATTAGAAATTAATTTGAAAGAATTTGAAAAAGTTGAGGAATTAGAGGGAATTAGAGAGATTTTGTAGTGATTTTTAAGTAGCAACAAATCTCACCTCTCCCCATGAGATTTCAAGAGAATTAAATTAAAATTTTATATAGAATTTCTATCAATTAAACTCTATAAAAATCCATGGATTTATAAATCCATTAAAGTCTCTCAAATTCCCGATTAAATACATCATATCATAGTCTACAAATTTATTCTTCAAAATCTCAATTGAATACACCCCTTTAGTCTCTCTAGCATTATTTATTGGGTAATGCTAGAGCGACCAATTTTTTATATCAAATTTTGTAAACTAAATGATGTGGTTATTGATGATTGGATTATTATTCATCTGTTTATTAATATGCTTATTTCGAATTGGTGGCATATCATTTGATTTGCAATTTTGATTTAAAAATTTGGTCAACTAACGTGCTTATTAAGTATAACAAGATATGCTTCTCGCGCTTATGCTCTTCACTGTACGCGAGAACAGATACATACATTGCCCTGACTACATGGATCCTTAGATATTGTTTGACTGCAAAGAGCAAATTACACATTTAGTCCATGTAATTTGAGCCATTTTGCAATTTGATAACATAATTAAATCTAGTTCTGCATTTGATAACTTAATTAACTTTCATCCAAATCCCAAACCCCATGTTATTGTTCAAGAATAAAATCAGATGTGACGGATACGTAATGAGGAGACCACGCAATCCCACATTGAATTTCTGTACTGTTATGTAGCAAAAATCATAGGCAATAGTTTGATTAACT